GTGTGTGTGTGTGTGCGTGTGAGTGTGTCTGTGCGTGGTGTGTGTGTGTGTGTGTGCGTGTGAGTGTGTCTGTGCGTGGTGTGTGTGTGTGTGTGTGCGTGTGAGTGTGTCTGTGCGTGGTGTGTGTGTGTGTGAGACAAACAGAGAGAGTGCAGTAACCATAACAGCTCCTGAGAACAGTTTGTGTATCACGTCTGGAGAGAAACAAAAGGACATGTGGTGGAAAACACTACAAACCTCCCCATTAACAATACACTAACACTGAAAGAAAACGTTAGTCACATTGTTTCTGATATATGATCCACTTTTTCCAATTGAAGATATCCCTGAAGAAGCCCTAAAAACAATTCTGGACAATTTTAGTACTTAAGTAAATTTAAAAGCTTATTTCTCTACAATTCTATATTTGCAGTTTATATTTTAATTTTAGTTAAAATTTTAGCAATTTTGTTATGTGCTTTTATACATTTTTATTAGTTTGTTAAATATTTAAATGTAGCTTAATTTATTTTTATTTCAGTTGTATTTTTTAGTAATTTTAAGACTTAAAACCTATTTATTTTATTAAGGCAAAAAACAACAAAAAAAAAAATGTAGCTTTAATTTATATTTATTCCAGTTTTAGTTTTAGTTTGAGTAATTTAAAGTATTTTAATTTAAACCTTTTTTTTTTTTTTTTAGGTTATTTCATTTCCAATTTTTGTTTAAGATTTTTAAGTTCATTCAATATTTTACTTTTATTGCAATTAATGAAAACGGTTTAATAGCTTTAGCTTTAGTCAACAGTAACGACACTGATACACAGACTTGTTTTCCTTCTAACACACAGATAATGAGATTTCCCAGCCTAATCCTGACAGGATTCGATTTCCAGCAAAGCACAATTCTGTGTCTGCTGTACGAGGCATTCAGACGGTTTCACTGCATCAGTGGGACGTTCAGCAGCGTTTCAGCAGCGCAGGACTGCAGGAGTCGACATGTTTTACTTCTTTTTCTCTCTCATTCATCACTCAGCAGCACACAAACACTTCCTGTCCTGAAGGAGCCGCTCTGTGTGTGTGTTTAAGGTGCTTTTATAACGCCGTCGCTCCTCATCTGAGATCTTGGCTTGTTGACAGAATAATTGCCCTGTGTGTGCTTGCGTGTGCATGCGTGTGTGTGTGTGTGTGTGTGTGCTGAAGGAGCATTTCAACCTCTGAATAAAGAAACTTAAGTAGAATTACAGGACAGAAGCTCGTCTGAGAGCAAAAGAGCTTCCATTCAACACATTTATTTAGAAGAATTAAACACAAACACTTCACACCTCAAGATGGGTGGATCTGACCGGAAAAAACCCGTCTGGCTCATATTTCACCACAAAAATATAAAATAAAGAAAAAAACAAGAAATTGTATTTTGCATAAAGAGAGTCTATCAGCATAAATGAACAGCTGTGCAGTGCGATCATGATATATATAAATGCTTCAGGATTTAAATAATATATCAGTATTTTTTAGTAGGATTTACATGTAAATGTGTGAAAATACAGAATGCAATATATCAGAAATATATGCAACATATGCAAAATACACCTTCTTATGAGTCTGACACAGATTGAGATTTATCTAGATCAGTGTAATACAGAAACACTGAAGAAATGGTGGACGAGCACACACACACACACACACACACACACACACACACACACACACACACAGAGAGAGAGAGAGAGAGCGAGAGAGAGAGAGAGAGAGACATGTTAACATCTAAATGAGGATGTACTATTTACA